AGCAGGAAAATGTCCATCATTATACTCACTTCCTTTCTTTAACCACAAATGGCATGAACATCTAATTGATGCAAGTGAGGGACGTCCTGTGAATTAATGTATACAAAGAAAGGGAGAAAAGAAAAATTCAAATCATTCAAACACTCCGGATGGTAAACAAATTGACACTGGCTTCCTGACAGACTGAACTCTGGTGCATTTAGAAACAGTTTATTTTCCTTCAAGGTCCAATCTTACTGTTAGTGGGTAGATGTCAAAACCTACGGTGTTAAAGTCCTTGACTGGTCATCTGGACCAGAAAAGTACTAAGACTATTCACCATCTGTCTGCTTTGAGTTTGAAAAAGTTTTTGAGGTTTTGAAGAGATAATGGACTGAATGAAGTTCTTCGTGATTTTGTCTTTTTTTTTCAGTTAGCAAAGGTTCAGATCTCAATCCACTTGTCCACATCCCTGGGCAGTGTCATTATGTCTGCCACAGTTTTGTCTTCACACCGATGCCCGACTAAGATAGAAATGGACTCATTAGAGCAGAAGAGCCTGACTTGGTCCCATTACCATTCTGCTGTTCTGCATGGACTGACGGCGCCTTTCTTTAAAACTAATGTATCTCATTTGTGTCTGGGAAATGCTTTCAAGGTGAACCGCACTTTGACAGAACGGATCTTTTATCAAAGGCTGGACAGCAGTCAGACACTGAGCTACTTGTCTGGGATTGTAGTCAGAGTCTGTCTGCGCAGGACCGACTGAAGCCGAGGAGATAATCGTGGAACTTTTACATGGCTTTCAAAGTCATGGAGAGAAAATGATGAGTGGACCTGAGAATATTCACTAACGCACGGAGTTTTGTAGAATCTACAGAGACTCATCGGGGCTTTAGGAGTTTTTCTTTTGTGATATTCTGAGGCTTTAACCAAAGAATCATCTTTAGTTGTTTTTTTACTCCAGGAACCAGGGGCAGAAAATCCACTTAGTCCACGTAAGACCTGACTGGATTAGGCTGGATCGTCTGCCCTGACTCAAACCTCTCCACATACCTTGTCACTAGACCAGCCTGTGGACTATATCTTGTCCTAAATATATATTTAAATTACTTATACACAGAGCTTTAACTCCACTGATCACTGCTCTAATACACAGTCAGTACACACCAGCACTCAGCTGAGATTTTTAAGCGACTCTGGACTCGTTCATTAGGACGCTGTTAACATGAAGAGCAATGATTCAAATCCACCAACAATAGTGGACTGACACCTACCTGCTGATATTTGTCTTTCTGTTCCAGCAATATATAGAAAAAAGGTTCCGTCATATTAAAGCTGATTGATTACAATCACAAACATGAATAATCGTGATTTAAAAGTTTGTCTTACAGCAGTTTTTATATATAAACATATATATATATACATACCGATATATATGTATTTTTCTTTCTTTCTGTACCAGCAATAAACAGGAAACATATTTTTTTGTGATATCAAACACTGTTAATTTATCTTGATTATTGTGGTTAGTTGCGATCCAAATGATCTCTCGGTGTCACCACACTGTCTGAAGTCTGTCGTGTCTTTGAGTCAAGACACAGCGTAGCCAACTGGACCAGTGATGTCCAAACCTGCACCCATGGTCCAGGCCCAGGTTTTGTGTATTTTACTCTAAGATGTAGAAGTTGTTGTTGCATGTGAACATTTCTGTGTTTTCTCTTCAACTCCTTGTGCTGTAAGACGTGTTGTACACTTGCATCACGTGTAGCAACAGCGAGTATGTGCTGTACTGTAGGTCCTTCTGACAAGTTGTACTACAGTAGATGTGTGGTTTCAGCTACAGATGCTTGAAATGCGCTTCTTTTGAAAATAAGGCCTCAGTGCTTCACAGCAGTGAGCAGTTGTTTCACTGTCCCCAAAAATCTAAAAGTTGAAGCTGTTTCCATAATTGCACTCTTCCATTTATCCTTGTTTTTCTTCTTCTCCACATAGAGTTGGTTTTTGTTTGTCTTCAAAGCGGAGCTGAGTGAAGCTGTTTGTGTGTGTGTGTGTGTGTGTGTGTGTGTGTGTGTGTGAGTGAGGGAATGGAAAGACATAAGAGGCAGAAGAGTAAGACAGAGAGTGGGCAGAAATGAGAAGAAGAGATGGAAGTGGGGATGAAGACGAGGCAGAGTCGACAGCAGGACTCTGGGTAATGAGACTGAAGCGTTAGGCATGAAAAGAAAGCAACAAAGACTCAGAAGGAGAGAGAGAGAGAGGGTGAGGGACAGTGAGAGACAATGAGAGAGTGAGACACAG